TATACTAATATATTATGTAGATACATATAAATATAATTACCATAAATTCGCATGGATCCTTCGGCTTCACCCAACGAGTTTTTTGTAACACATTTATAATTTCCATAATCTGCTGGACTTAGAGATCGTATAGTTAGCTTCATGTGTGCTTTGTACCCATCTTCATTGATTACTATATGATACTTTAACCCAGGAAATATCATATTTATGGATTCTTGGTATGACCAAAAGCTTATTGGTCGAGGATATGCTTCAATCAKACAGTCGATSGTGACGTCAGTTCCCAACGGGGCACCGACTAATTGATTTGGTACTAGCAACGTTGGAGAAACTGAAAWTAAAAATATGTAGGTAAARTAAAATAACAATTTAGTACAATTATTGTATGTGRAAAACAAATTAATTCCGATAGTTTTACATTTTTTACATATCYTCATATTATTATGTCTATTTACCTAACTAAAYTGTATAACCTAATCAGATGTTTTAAGTCCAGGATTTCAGTTGTAAGGGTTTAGATTTAAGATCTTGTTCTCAAACATATTAACATTAGCWAGAAGACTCACCRATCTGAATTACTATCGTCAATAAATATAATGTGAAAAAATATGAGTATTCTTTGTCTGAACAATTCAAATAGGTACGACAAATCGATTAATATTGARTATGATAAATTTTCAACTCTAAAGTGAAGTGCGAAAACAACTGTRATACTTGTACCAAAAATTGGCGGATGAAGCGACTTTGTTGTATTTATAAATACAATTTATTATTTTATTAATCTCAATAGTTTTGCGGAGTGGCAAATACTGCAACATWATTTAATCGAAAAAATTGAAAACTAAAAGTACGTAAAATATCGAAACCTATCATAAAATGATTGAAAAAGAATAAAATAGAGAGAATAATATTGTAATATTAGAGAAGGATTTGCGTTGAATATAGAAGGATATGTCTGTTTGCGAGTTAAAAGGAGACAACAGGTAGGCGTGTTGTGGTGGAAATTTGATGAAGTTAATGAGGATACGGTGGTTATAGGTTAGGTTACATTTTACATTTTGCTCAATTTTGAGCTAGAAATAGATGTTGGTGTACCACTTGTTGATTCAATTTTAACATACATTTTACATTTTGCTCAATTTTGAGCTAGAAATAGATGTTGGTGTACCACTTGTTGATTCAATTTTAACATACATTTTACATTTTGCTCAACGTTCAAAGAAAGTTTGATCATACTAGAAGGAAAACTTAGAATTAGAATAAAATATAAATTATTAAATGAAAACACGTGCTTGAGCATACTGAGTAAATTATCCTGTGTACATCAATAAATTCCAATAGTCGTCAAAAAATACCGTAGCAATTTCACAAAGTGGTCAGTAAACTTCTTCAATGAATATAATAAAAGCAAAACCAACCCAAATAAATACATTAACGTTGATCGTATAGTTTAGTCCCCTTGAGACGAGATCTTTCAAAAATTGAAAAGTTTATATGCTGTAATAGCTAAAAGTAAACCGAAAAGTCAAAATGATGACGAACTAAACACCGAACGTCATATCTTGTAAATTACTTAAGCTTAAGTAATTTGTTAATTATGAAGTGAATTCATTCTATTATAATACATTATAAGTACAAATCACACAAAAATCACAATATAATTCAAATAATTTATTATTTATTCAATTAAATAAAACTCACTTTGTTTTATAATTATATATTATGGTCGTAAGTTTCATTTCAATTGAAAAAAATAAATATTTTTTATACATTTTTGCTATAGTATAGATTTCACAAAATTTGTACTTAGTTAATAACATTAACACAATGACCTTTGCATTAGTTATTAACAGGAACAATAATTATTTCTAATAATAGCAATTCTTCATTCATAATTAAATAATCACTAGAATTTGGTTACCTCTTCGTCGTTTAATATTCAAATCAAAAACGAATATTTTCTTAAAAGCGTGTAAAATTAATTTTTGAAACTTGGGAAATAATAATCAAATGCGTGAACTAAAAGTTTTCACGTGACCTATGACTAATTTCGTGCCATTTGCAAGTGTTGCGTTTATGAAAGATAATTGGTATTAAATTATGGGTGTGGCATATAATTTGTAGCTCAYGGGTTGATGTTGTTCAATAATATTACATTACCTATATTCGGTAAAATTCGATTAAGATTATTTTAAAAATTGAATAAATTATGGTAGGTACTTATAGATCTTTGATAAAATTTGTAACGAAATCGCTCATTTTTTTTAATCACCATACCGAAGGGTTATAAATACTGAGTTRTAAGCACGTCTTACAATTTATATTTAATTTATCGATTTTACGTTCGTATCAAAATATACAAGGCTGAAGGCTACTACGTTGGTCGATGAATAATCTAGTTAAAAGTAGTTAATAAAGAGATAAAATGGAAATGCTACGATGGAWACAATAAAATATTCAAATTTAAAATCACCTTGCAAAGAAAAGTACAGTATTTAACTCTATTACTTATTAAGTAATTTGATCAATTAAAAATTTTAAATTTCAAATAACAGTTAATAATAGATTCACGAATTAATCAGACACTGGTGGGCTTAGCTGAACGCTTAGACCACATCAGTTTCTTAATTTAATTTTATGGAAAATGTAACATAATCATAATTATTTCTGAATCAAACTGCACCATATTATTAATCAAAATTATAATATTATAACGAGATAAAATAATAAATAAAATTATWTTCTTATAACTTTTTTTTATCGTAGATTYATTTTTATCTTTCAAAAATTATCACTGTATAGTGTATACTTTCCATCATTTGTTAGGTAGGTACTTATTGTAAAATATTACCACTGCGGAACTTCAAAATATTATGATATATTTATGCATTTACATCAAACTGTGTCACGTCTTATTTTCCATTTTTTCCCTTGTTATATTTTTGTTGGAAACAAGAAAAGTTTTTAAAGGGAATTCTTCGTTTTTATATTTATCATAATTTAACAACGTACTGTGAATTTACACCAAATTAATAAGTTTTAAAAATAATATTGTGCAGTTCTCTAAAAAAACATTGGTAGTTAGTTTTTTTTTTCTGATGTAGAAAATTAAATAATGAATTATTGAATCCATAAGAGTTCCAGTATTCCACAAAAATGTTTTGACTTTTGAGTTTAGAGTCTTATTATGTATTTGTGAGTTTGTGTAAATTAAATTTAAATTGATTATTTAGTTAATTAACTTAATTTAAAATTACCACTTTTCAAACTGTTTTCTGTTATCACTTAAAATTATATTATTTTTATGAGAATATTATACAAAACTGTAATACTCATAATTTTTTTACAGCATATTTATTTTCTATAAGTATTTTATGAATAACCATATAGGTATATACTTTATTTTTATTATACGAAATTCCAAGCCTATGTAAGGTAGGTATCTACATCTACAAATATTAACAGCATCGGTTAGGACTTAGGAGTAATGGTAATAAGTAATATAGTAATAATGGCAATTGTGCTGATACATAAAGTTGGTTAGACATTATTATAAATATAAAGGTAGTAAGAATGAAGAATCAAACTGCACCATATTATTAATCAAAATTATAATATTATAACGAGATAAAATAATAAATAAAATTAGACATATAATTTATTGTATCCATGATTTAAAATACTATATAAACGCAATGACTCGAACAATGACGATAAATATCAAACATAAATAATGAACATTATAGTCGACTATCGGTTTATTAACTAGCAGGGTTACAATATATTTTATTCAAAAGTATATAGTACCTAATATAATTTATTTCAATCACATAATATAGTGATAATATTTTAAGCACGTACCTACTGGTTTTAATTTGATATATATATATATATTATTTTGAAAACATTGAGAAATTCAAACGACATATTATACCCTTTAAGCAAAATATATTTTTTTTTTTTTTTTTGTAACGATTTTCAATATGGTTTGTCTTTGCTATCCACCTCAAATTGCAATACGTTATAATTTTTTTTTAAACGAACCTATGTCAATTCTCTTTCGAAACACATCACTATTATTTAGTCGCGTGCAATAATGTGGTCTGTGTGTATGCAACAATGATGGTGATTACGCCCCCACACTATACCACTCATAAACACACACAAAGTAAAGATGTGTATTATTACACCGATCTAACGTTCGCGTGACTTCGCACACCAGACAKACTGGCAGTTCATTAAAACCAGCGTTGTGAACGTATATACAGAGCCGACGTGTACGTTTTAATTGARGTTACAATAGGAGRAACTAAAAGTTTACCCGTAGAGGGTTTCAATTTTTCTTGTGGTCCGAATTCGTCGTTATTATGACTCCGCGCACTGCATTGTTCGGGTAACAGACTGGCGCCGTACGGCGGGATAGAAACAATAATGGTTAAATCGTTCATGGCCGTCACTCATCAGTCATCACGCAGATATTATTTCGATACATTTTTAATTTTTTACCCCGCCATTTCCGTTTGCGCCGCTCCAGCGGCATAATGTTATTATTGTTATTATWGGCAGCTCTACAACAATGTATTATTATCACATGTTCATCCMCGATTTGGCTGCAACTCGTGAAGACGAGATTTACTCTCGTCGGATACAACAATGACTGACGTTTCGCCGGAAGAGTCCGTGTAGGTTTCATCCCCTTGGAAGCCGCCCGCCCGTCTGCAGTCTCGCGCATTGGCGAGACACAAAGACACACCGACGCCGTTATTGCTTCCGGCTTGTCGACTTGCAGCTCACTATTATTTTTTCTCTCTCTTATTGTTCGACAGCCACTGACGTTGTAACCGCCGCTGCAGCGATCAACGAGAACTTTTTCGAACTCGGTGTTTCGATGCRATATAATACGACCGGCAAAACCAATCGAATTTAGCTCAAGTGTGTGTGGTTGAACAACAAACCAATAACTAATAATATATGAAAAATATTACTATGAATTAATTTGTTTGCGCGACACGCTTTGTTAATCGTTTAGCGTATTATTAATATTATTTTCAAGTGGCGTCTTTATTATTGATAACGAAAACCGAGATAAACGCGCAACAACTAACGAAATTGTTGATGAGGAAAACGTTCAAAGTTCTATTTTAATTAATTATTTAACAGCTGAATGTCAGATAGGTATACTCTGCGCATAGCATTATGATATTTAACGAAAAAGTTAGAAAAAAAATTGATTCCATAGAAAGTTTAGATAGAAATTCTCGTGAAACATTCAGTTTATTGTCCATAAAAAAGTAAAATAAAAGCAAAGCATGATTCTATAGTGGGATTTTTTTTTGGATAATATTACAAAATCTTTTTGTTATTTACCTTGGATGTGAAAATAAAACTGCAAGATAATATTAGTTTTGTTCACAAAGTATTGAATAATATTTTAAACAGTCAAGGACGTTATAATATATTTTACGCGCGCTCGTGAGCGCTGTATTTAATAAATTATTAATCCATCAAGTCTTGCATGTTTCTCGTTCCCAAAATTAATTTCTACTGGCATGCACTCTGATATTACTTGTATTAATTTTGCATATTGTGTAAAATATGTACAGAAGAGTTTATTATATAAATAAATAATAATTGTACCTTTGATTAGTGATTAGGTATTATAATAAGCTTTTGAGTTATTATTAATAACAAACCTATTTTAATATTATACAACGTACTTATTAATGCATTCACACAGCTTTGCTATTTTTAAGCTTCCAATTAATTGGACTAAATATTTATCGAAAAAGTAATTATTATTTATTACAAGATGTGATGCATCATACTATATATGGCTTCATTGTATCGYTTTGAAATCTCGGGACCCATTTTAGCGAGTCTGATGTTCGACAGTATAATTATTATTCAAATGATAATTTATAACTGAACGGATTAAGACGAAACCTCGATTGACTGAGTAATAAAATAACTAATCGTTTACAGTTTTCAATAATTATAATTATTTCTATCTTTTTTTTTTTTTTTTAAGCGACGAAAGTCGTCTAATACTTACATTCAATGTCGAGAACAATTCTTTTGCTGACCGACGGAGGAATTCCATTAGATGCGATGCACAAATAAGATCCCATGTCGGCCCGGCTAACTTTGGTCAGGTTCAGAACATTGCCGTGCTGCTTTTCRACTGTAAAACAATATTCATAAACGAGAAAAAATTAATATTATTATAAAATATGATTATTACGTTTACGATAAGAGCAAAAGTTCAGAATGTCGTTTCTAAATATTTATGTGTTCAATTATCTAAATGTAATTTCTGTGGCTTGCGCACCCCAGCACCAGACGCAGGCATTATTGTTCCGGAAGATAGTGGTTTTAATAAATAATATTGCTTCAGTCTTGTAAAATATAGTATCATGTATCATGTATGTGCTATAGAATACAAAGAGGATACCTATTATGTCATAACTATTATCATCATTACTATTACTATATTATTAGGACCCTCAAGTATAAACTGTTACACTATAAAACCCGTCGTAAAATGTGTATATAAATTTGCGACTAACATTCTAAAGTGTTAACTTTAATTATTACTGATGTTTTGTTACTTACATGAAACGCATGTAAATATTTACAAAAAATATTCGATGTATAGAAATCATATATTAATAATTTTTCGAGTTATATAAAAGTATTTYGAATTGATAAACAAAGTATTTCGGTTGCCTCTGGATGAACGAAAAAATTCAATGACATTTAACTGCTTTGATATTTGTCCGACACATTTTCAATGMATTTCTTTGTTAYCGTCTTTAAATTAATAGTTTGTTGGCATCGCTGTAGTATTGGTAACATGATTGAGTTTTTAATTAAAGCATAAAACCATGTATTCTCCCACAGCACTGTATGTTTGTTGTATGGYTGACGAAAATATATGTATATGGCACTCAAAAAGTGGATTTATAAATGTTAATAAGAAATTWAAAAAAAAAAAAAGTTTGAATTAAAAACTATATTGTATAGGTAATATTTTAAATGGCAAGAAAGAAATCAAACTGACAATAGTGTGTTATCAATGTTTTAAAACTTTAAATTTAAGCTTTATATAAAATGCTTTGTTATTAGGTAGTAATAAATAAATCGAATGAGAATATAATTTTCTAAGTGTGTCATTGTAGGTCAAAACTGTATACTAAGCCAAGTAAATTATTTCTTTCGACCAAACATTATATTCATTTAAATATTATAATATCATTGAATAAAGTGCCTGTGTAAAATATTTGAAGTAGAAATGAAACAACTAATCCAAATTATGTTAGTATGATGACTTTAATTTACATTTTAGCTACAATACACTACTTATCTAAATGAACACTCTCGAATTAACTGAGTTATGGAAGAAAAAAAATAAATTAACAATTTTATTTCTGATGTTTATTTTAGCGAACGGGGGGTTTTTTTTAACGAGAAAGAAAATTATACCATCGGGTGGGTGTATAATAGTTTTTATATTAATATTAAAAAAAGTGATGTAAATAATGCATGTACTTCTAATAGTCTTAACCTAAAATAATTTTATGTTAGATATTAAAATAATATGATTATTTTTTTGAGTTGAACATTTACGAGCTTCAAAYTGTGAATTACTTTCGTCGTACATACTCGACACACGTGTGATCTTTGGTTGTAAATGATATATAAATTAATGTTAATTTATGTTTTCCATGACATATAACAGGAATAAAATTGTCTAACGGATATTTTGGCAGAAATCTCACAGTTGATCTCATTAATTCATTGGTGCAACGTGTCTAGCCAATGAAGTGGTCTAAAAAATTGACTTATCTTTCTAACATCAAAACCAATCACGAAGCTGTCACACCGATTGAAACCGTCGGAGACAATTCAATTCTTTGGATTCGTAATCTAATTTTATAGGTAGGAAAACTACACAACCATGTATCCCTTGCACTTATTTTACAGCAAACAACTTGTAAACTAACCCCATAAACTTTACCTTCAGGGAACACTTAATGTTACATCACATGACTTAAACTTTGAAGTTTTTTTATGATTTGTTGTTATTATATTATATATATTGTATGCATGTATGTATATAAAAACCGAGTATATCAGCGATTAACCRCATCTCAAAATGTAACTTTTTCAGCGTCCATTAGCAAAATATACAAAAAAAAAAAAACGTTGATAAACTTTCATCGTAAAATCTCACTTTCGACAGAGGCACTTTTTGCATTCCTTGGAGTGTAATATAATTTTTTTACATAAAAGACTTCACTAAGAAACGACACGAAAAAATGAAGCCTAACTGACTGCCCTGGAGTGACACTAAAAGTAAATAATCGTCGATTAGGGACGACATTTTAAAAGTATAACCACTATTCAACGAAGTTCGACAATAAAATTCAATGCATTAAATATTAACGTTATTTGGTTAATTAATAATTCATTACAATCATTTTAAGTACTTAGCACTAAATGATTTTCTGTTCTATAGTGGTTATTAAGTGTTTGTTCAAATAATAAAAATACAATTTTGTATACCAACATAATACACGAGTAAAGACTGAAACGAAAACACATGTAACATTGATGGACATCTAATCATTGGCATAGTTCTAAAAGATCAAAACCAGCCAGCTAGAAAACCCCATTAATCTAAACACCAAATAAAACAGTGTTCGAAAATAAATTCAAAATAAGATTTCTGTCAACTTTTATCCATTCCATTGGAATATTGAAAAGTGAAAATCAAATTGTTTTTTTTTTTTCTAAGATTATAATACAGAAATATCAAGATGATCTCGGTGCACTATTTGTTTTCTCTCTAGAAAGTCTAGGCCCATACGTTGCAATTACTTATTAAACTCTGGTTCTAAAGAAGAACATCTGTTTTTAGCTTTGAATATGAAGTGAATAACCTGTCAACACACTCTCATAAAGAATAATATCTTTCTTGTTTGTACTTTATATTTCTTAAGATATTTTTTTCCTCCGATGTTGGAATATTTTTAATTTGTAATAATTTCCATGTATATAACTTGATCGAAACAAAATATAATAAAAACACAGCCAATATCTTCAACTTTTGAGTTTGAGAATAAGTATATTCATCCTTGCATTAAAGCTTAAAATAAATGATTGATTYTAGTGTACAAAAATACACTATRTTTTGTATGAAAAGAAGCGAATAGTTACACATATTATAGTAGTTAGTTGATATCATCTTAATATAGTTACTATTTTAAGACGGCGTTTTGTATATGCAATTTCACTACAATTATCATTAAAAGTATATTCAAAAGTGATTGTATAAAATATATTGTGAACAAGGTCAAAATAAACAAATATTATAAACTATCAGATACTGAAAACCTAGTGAAATAAATTTATTAAAATATAAACTTCTGTGCGAATAAAAACGATTACATGAATAAAATAACTGTTTTGTATTTAGTCAAGAGCAAATAAATTATCGCACGATCATTGATGACTGCCATTAAAATATTTGTGGACATTTTGTTATTCAGTCTATTAATTTGTATAATTTAATTAATACCATGCATACAGTGCATAATATAATAATATTTATAAATATAAAATCGCATAGGTAATATTTATGTATTTTAAAACCTCGTATAAACTAACCTTACATAAATATAGATATTTGTTATTCAGTCTATTAATTTGTATAATTTAATTAATACCATGCATACAGTGCATAATATAATAATATTTATAAATATAAAATCGCATAGGTAATATTTATGTATTTTAAAACAACAATATAACGTATCTAAGTGATTGTACAACATATTGCTGTGTATATCAATGCAATTCAAACAAATATCTATATTTATGTAAGGTTAGTTTATACGAGGTTTTAAAAGCAACATCATCTAATGGACAACTTGTCTTTGAAAAAAACTCAAGTAGATGTTCAACTTTTACGATACATATTAGTATTAGTAAACATGCCAAAAAGAGAGCTAATAGAAATATCAAATATTTCTGAAAATACTGATCATTCAAGGTTCACCTCAACAAGACCACATAATAATACAAGTTATAGTGAATGTAATCAACTGCCAAAGTATATAACGCAGACTTCACATATTAAAAATAGCCCAAAGTAAACATATCAGTTGTTTCTCAAGTACCATATTATGTTACGTAATATATTTTAATGTTACATACTTTTTTAAATATTGTGTCTCATTATATACATATAATGAGCTTGTTTATACAATTCTATAATAACTAATTATTAATATTGTTATTTCGAAATTTAAAATGTTAAACAAAAATAG